AAAAAGCCCTTAACTACTCTGACATGAAGTCCTTACAGCGTAAAATTTCCAGATGTTCGAAGTAGATAGATATTAAGGAAAAGATATAGATGTTAATTTTTTCCCCTCAGAATACTTTCTCTCTCACAGGTTATATGGAGTATCTGCTCAATCTGTATCACAAGCCCTAAACCTCCCTACCCACTAACAACTGTCAGAGCTTCTGTACTAACCTCACCTTCTTCAGAGTTAAAAAGGTTATGAATCAGAAAGCATGAGTAACTGACAGAAACCTCATTGCTGTCATTTCTTAAGTAAAAATACTAAAGAATCCTAAGAAAGAGACTTTAGGGAGGACAAAAAAATACAGATTACACAGGTTCCTCGTAGACTCCAGACTAGTCACAATAAAAGACTGTCTGTGATGATGGAAGATCAGATTTGATGATCAGAATGGCCATAGTGGGCATATGCATACATCCATACCTGCATATGTGTGTATGTGTGTACATGTGTCTGTATGTAATAGAAATAATTCTGCTGGATTTTGCCTAAAGCCGGGAGTACCTCAACTACTCTTGGTGCTTCTGTGTGTGACTTTTAAAATGCTGTGTACTTCTTGTTACTCTTTTCTATGTGTTATACTATAAATGCAGCTACCATTCTGGTCTTGTGTTCACATGTGAACCAGGACAATATGGAGAACGTGGATTTCTTTCGTATTTCTTGTGGGAATGATATTACTGCATTGTGTCTTACTAGGGAGAGGCAAGCTATTCTTACAATAATCAAAGCAAGGTTCTGCTACATTGTAAACTGCATTCAGGAACAAATTATCCTTTATTATTCTCATTTCTTATATTGCTTTCTGTCAATAATACACTGCTAAAGCACTATTATTTAATATTACACTGATGTATGGACACATAAAATGTTTAGATTTCACATTTATGATGGAACAGATTATTAAAGTGTCTAAATAGTACACAAGCTACATGAGTTATGAGCATCTGGAATCTTAGTAGAAAATGAGAGTATTTGATAATAATTTTATAATTATTCATGAAGAAGAGAAGAAACAGGTGTTTTTCCAACAAAGCATAATGACCTATTTCTATTTTAAATATGCCTAAGTATTTTCATGCATAATGCTGTAGTACATATCAATGGTATTTGCTAATAAGGAGAATACATCAACTGTAAAGTATCCTGTTAGAGTTTGTTTGAAGAGGCAATCAAAAGCTTATGTAGTCCCTATTAAGACTTAACTAACTTTTTGTGTTGTATTTAATGGATTAAATAATTCTTAAAACAGATATCATAAGAATTTAATATATCTATCTTAAACACGAGTAGCAAGATCTGAATCTGTTCCGTTTATTGATAAATACACCAAGGATGATATTCAGAATTTTTGAACAAGCATAAGCCAATTCAAGTCACACAAGATTTCAGCCTTGATACCCCTGGTGCTCATATTCTCTTTGCTATCAGTAGTTTCACACTGCTTTATTCTGACTAATTTATTCTGTTACTTTAACCTATATTCACTTATGTCTCAATTACTTTTGATTCCTGATTCTGTCCAAACTATCTCTCCTGTAAAACCCATTTGGGTAGCTGAGTTCAGGTTTGTTTCATAGTGTTATACAGTATCTGGCACAGAAATGTGTTTGTTTAGAACAACATTTGTGTGTTCTTGTATCTCATAAAAATGGGAAATTGAGTGTCTGGTGTTCTTTCTGAGCAACAAAAGGTACATGATACATTGCAGTGATTTGTGCTTCTGTGTTCAAATTGGATCAGATTTTTTCTACAGCTGAAAATAAGGGAGAACTGAAAGGGTAGGTGATATATTGATTTGTTTATTAGTGCTTGATCCTCTTAATGCTGAAATCAATGTATTTTTAATTTCGGGGTGAGTAGAATCTCCTTCCTGAGAAATGATGAAAAAGTTATTTTCAGGGTTAAGTCCCAGTCTTTTCACTCTGTCTAATCTTCTCCCATTAATAACATAATTTTGCTTTTAGGATATGATCTGTTCCATACTGAATGGAGTACAGTGCTGACCTTCTAGATGAGATATTACATGATGGTAATTTCTGATCTATAATGTGTTCATTGTGACAATAGATATTTATGCATCTTAAAAGCATTTAATCAAGGAGCATTATTTTTCACAAGACTCTCTGCAAGGCATCCTAATTTAGCGAAAGCAGAGCAATCAAAGAAAACGTGAGGGTTTTTTACCTAAAGATATACAGGCAAAGAATACAAGCTAAAAAATCATATTGGGAAACTAGATTACTATATGTTATGCTGTAGCTGTTATGAAAAGAAAGGAACTGCTAGACAGTTCTTTTAATGATGTGCTAAAGATATCTTAATCTGAATCACACTACTACATTTTGCAGTAAGGAGATTGTAAGTCTCTTAATACGAGACTTGCTACCCGACATTACAAATGTATTGCTGGCCAGTCTTTCCACAGCAGCACACTTTTAAACTGGGGCTTGGTCAGAACTTGGGTGTGCAGAGGTCGCAGCAGGTAATTGGCACAGCCTGTTTCTGATCTTGAGGCACTTTGTGGTGCAGGGGTCTGTACAAGGTGAGCTCTTCTGGTTTGGTGTGTTCACAAATACTCTCTGCCCGCAGAGCTGAGCATCAGTGATTATTTTCATGTGCCTGTGCTACTAGGATTTACTAACTAGGCTGGCTAGTGGTGTGAGGCTTGAACTTGTGAGAGTAGCTCTTAGATGAAAGGGAAAAAAAAAGAAAAGAAGACAGACTGAGAGAATTGGGTTTGTTCAGTCTGGAAAAGAGGAGGCTCTGGGGTGACCTATTTGAGGTCTTCCAGTACCTGAAGGGAGCCTACAGGAAAGATGGAGAGAGACTATTTACAAGAGCCTGGAGTGACAGGAGAAGCAGGAATGGCTTCAAACTGAGAGTGGGTTTAGATTAGGTATTAGGAAGAAATTCTTTACTGTGAGGGTGGTGAGGCACTGGAACATATGGCCCAGAGAAACTGTGGCTGCCCCATCCCAGGAAGTGTTTAAGGCCAGGTTGAATGGAGTTCTGAGCAACCTGGTCTAGTGGAAGGTGTCTGTGCCCACAGCAGAGGGGTTGAAATTAGATGACCTTTAAGGTCCCTTCTAACCCAAGGCATTCCGTGATTCTACAAAATGGGATAAAAGCATCTGTTATTGGTGTATGACTTACATAACTCAATTAAATGTGTATTAGGGAGGAACATGTTTTGGCCATCAATATAAACATTTTTACAACATTTGGAAGCTGGATTAGAAGTAATATCTGACCTGTGAAGCATTCAGAGTTTTTATATTGTAAAACCAGACTATGGTTCCCATTGCCTTGGGTCTGGAGTCTGTCACAATCACTCCGGTCTTTCTAGTGAATTGAGTTAATATTTAGTACCAATACCAGTTAGGCAATGGACCGTTCCTAGTTATGGGTGAGTTAGTACTTGGCACTGCTATTTCAACTGTAAGTACAACAGCATAAATTAGAAGGGTTGATTTTGTAGCAAAGTGGAGTTCTCCCCCTTACTTTGTGTTCTTACTGTAAGAAGCTGTGAGCTGCCATTGCTCAGATGCTTTGGGAAATGTGCCTCACAGTCGTAGAATCATAGAATCATTAGGGTTGGAAGAGAGCTGCAAGATCATTGAGTCCAACCTTTGACCAAACACCACCTTGTCAACTAAACCAAGTCATAAAGTAAGGAAGAGAAATTGGCTGAAAATCAGGAGTTCACCACTCATTCTGATGAGGTCTGATGAGAGCACAGCCACAGGATGATAGCAAAAGCCTCGAGAGCACAAGTTCAGGACAATATCAGCAGCACCAAGTGTAAAAACCTAAACCACAAATGGTAAATTACTGGTCATTTAAAGAATGTAAGTTCAAGATGTGCCAAAGTGTTTCTAGGGAACAACAAAGAAAATAACAAAGATGTGAAATACTGCCTTTTTGATGGAAACACAGAGAAAATTATAAAATATAAAAAGCAGTTACATCCTCTTCAGGCAGGGGAAAAAAGAAAGAAGGGAGAATTGTTCCTGCATTGCCACTTGGTTATAGGTAATGCATGTTATCAGTGTTTATGCTTAACAGTATCAGGCCATTCTTCCCCTTTTTTGGGAACACTGCTTTCTGAATTTTTCTTCATCCTGTGTTCCTTCTGTACACTCAATAATCACATGTAAAGGATTATCTTCATAAATATGTTTAAATAAATTAGAAGCCAAACAAATCCTGCACGTGTGTTCTGTGCTGTGACCTTCACCTACAGAGTGAGTGATGCCACATCACTGGGAAGCAAACTTGAATGTGATGCTGTCCAAGAGACAGGTTCAGAGCCAGGGAAAGGACAATGGTCATTGGTTCAGTTCATCTTGGAATTTGCTTTGCAAGCAGAAAGGACGGGGCTGGTTTTATTGTGGTTGCTGAAACTTTTTACTTGCTCTGACAAGAAGGTAGTAAGCAAATTCACAGAATAGTTGATTTTGGAAGGGAAATCTGGAGCATCTTTAAGCATGGCTACCTAGAGAAGGTTGCTGAGGACATAGCTGGGTTTTGAGTATCTCCAAGGATAAGTCACTATGCTAAAGCTTAGGACTTTCGTCTGTTTAATTTATAGCAGGTGCATTGGAATAAGGGCATAGAATTTCGAACTTCTGTTCATGTCTCCCAAATCTAAGCCCTAAATTATAACCTTGATTGAAATTGAAAAATGATAATTTAGCTTCTCCTATTGAAGCTGAGGTCCTGTAGAACAGATAAGAAAGAAGTCCCGTGATGAGCAGGACTTCGGTTTCTGCATCTGTAATTCCACCTGCCTCAGCAACCTTTGGCAAAAGATAGAACATAATCCTGCCAAACCGGAAACAAAATCTATTACCAGTCTGTGATAGTATGGCCTCTTTATTGTGCTTGCAGTCTAATTTTGTTAATAGTTTCTTCTTGCTGCTTATTGAAAGAAACAGTATGGATTGTGTCTGTAGCTTAGCCTTCCCTGGATCTTCCTACTGTGACAGGACTGCTGAAAGGTCAACACGAGAGATTGTGGTGAAAGGAAAGCATGTGAAGTAGCTTTTCCCTTCTTCAGGCTACTTCATATAAAGGTCAGAGGTGACACTAATGTGTTCTTTGGCTGCCTTCTAAAGTAAACCAAGCACTTCTCCATTCCCTAAAGATCTATTTATGCATCTGAATCTTGGACAGACATAGACTTCTGGTTGCAGCTTCACATATGGAGTGGATTAGAAGTGCTGGTAAACTACACCGTCAGGATGGAGGTTGTGTGTTAGATACCCAAGAAAGCAAAAGGAAACACCGAAGGTAAGAAATGTTCTCAACATGTTGTCGGTACCTGAATTTCCTTATGCATTTTGTATGTCATTTGAATGCTTTAACATGGTTTGCCATTAAAGAAAGGATACCCTTTTCTGTTTAAAGACTTGGACACCTCTGGAAAGGAAAAGCTGTCTTTGTCATATATGCATGAGCTTATTTCTACTTGCTAATAATTGCAGAAATAGATTGAATATATATCCATATCCTTGTCTGTCTTTGGTTTTGAATGTAGTTAGTAATTGCTTTATGAGGTCTTGTTCAACTGGGGTATATGACTGGTAGTGATTATTCTTAAACACTTAATTTGGGGATGCTGATATTTGATATTTACAAATAACTAGACATAAAACCTAGCAAAAATTATATTTTTGCAACTGAATGGATGTCACAGACTTTGAATTTCTTAATGATAAAAATACTTAGCATCCAACTTATTCCTCATGAACGTGTGCTAATGACACTCTAGGAGAGACTGTGGGGTTAAGAGCGTACACAGTGTGTATGAGAGCAGTCCATCCCTAGGATTGCAGCTGTTGGGTGGCTCTTTCCTAGTGTTTTGTTGTTTGACCATCAATAAGGTGGTATTTCCCTGTTTGTTACAAGGTCTGAAAGAGAATCAAGTGAATATTCTGACAGCAAATCAACTTCATAAATGGAGAGGCAAAGAAACTCTAGGCAATGAGGAAGACATCCTATAGGACAAGATGTCCAAGAAGGTTAAAACTAAGAGTGTGAAGAGACATGTTTGGCTTTTAACAGATCAACAGGTCAGAATCTTGATTTTTTATTTTTTTTAATGTAATAATGTTATAATGGCCAATACAATGTACCTGCCTCATTTTAAATTTAGCAAAATTTAATGTAGATGTTCTGGTTTCAGTGTGGGAAATTTCATATGATACAGTAAAACAGTATCATGCATAATGTAATGAAATCCTAAATTTAATATTGTGTATATAATTGGGAAATATATTCAAATTTGGCCAAGGTCTTTAAGGTTAAATACTTGAATCAATTATAAACTCTAGAAATGTGTCTGTGCTTATCATTATATGAGGGAATAACATGAAATCTAGGGATGCACAATTAAGTAATGACATGTCTTCACAAAATCTGGATTTAATTTTCCAATTTAAGTCTCAGTAGTTTTCCTAAAGTTTCTAAAACTAATTCCTAAAGGGAAAAGTAGTTTAGCTTTCATTGAAACCAGTGCCTTAGGAACACATGGGTCAGGCTTCAGAAAATACTTCTGATTTGTAAGGTGTGAGCAGTTTCTAAAGCACATCTCTGATTCCTGCTTTTCAAATTTAAGCAAAACTATCCTTAATGTATTTCTGTCACATTTATGGCAGCCATTAATACATCATCCAGAAATGGAGTTATAATGAGGCATTGCTTATTCTATATGCCTTGACTAGATACAAGTGATAGTAACATGGGTGGAATTCTAAACCACAGAAGCCCTTAATGCTCGATGAAAGCAAACATTTATTAAAAAAAAAGAAAAACAAACCACAAAAAAAAGCACTCACCTGCACACAACTTAAAGCAAACAGATGAGTTTCAATAAAAACATTTTTATACTTTTATCATTTTACTAGTTAGAGAAGAACATGCATTTTTATTTGTGTGAATCCAAAAAAATAGAGCCCCCACTTCCATCCAAGAATTGTTTTTTGTTTTCCCTCTTGGAACAATGCTGCCATTGCAATATTGTTATTTTCTTCTATCTTCCTTTAAAAAATATAATACAAGTCAAATTTTTCTATTTTTTGAAAACTTCCTGCTTTTTTTTCCTGAACTAATCAGCTACAGAAGACTCTTCATTATTTGGGTTTACTATGTAAAACAGGTAGGCATTCTCTTATTGCAGCTCTTTCAAATCTCTGAGCAAGCACACTAGACTTCACAAATTTAAAGGCAGAAAAAATAGCTTATCTCTATACACTTATAGCCTGAGATAGTAACTGAAAATTGCCCTCTTCAGTATTGTGCAAACAAATACTTAAAAATGCCAAATTCTACCTGATAAAGGAATAAGGAAGATTTTTATTTTTTTGTGTGTGAATGTGCTTATATCGTAATATTCTGTTAACCTGTTCAGTAACTTCCAAGAACTTTATCCCTTGAAGGAATCTACTGAGGATATACGGTGAGTTCAGAGTCCCTTTGAACACAAATGGAGGTTGATATGACTGACTTAAGTAAAAATGGCTTCCCAGACCTGGATACACAACTTTACAAGTAAAACCAGTACCTAATTATCCCTTTCACAAATGGAGGCAGGAATTCTGAATCAACCTATTATTTCAAATGTTATTTTTGTTAACTGCTTTTATTTCCTCCTAACTTAATAACTCAGACGTATGAACTTCAGGTGCAACATATATTCATTTAATATTTGACTAGCAATGCTTTATCTGACACAGGAAGCACACTAGGAGACAGAGAGTTATAGGCAAAAGAAATCCATGTTTTTAATAACACATCCTAATTTTCCCTTCAGAATCAAAATACAATAATTTGAAATAAGAGGTAATGGTGTCTGTCTCTTAAATGCTTCGTATTCCTACCACCACCTTGTAAAGTATTATGATGAGTATTATGATATTCGTCAGGAAGGAAGTCTCATAGAAAAAGGCCATCCCCATGTGCCAAAATGTAAGCTTCTTTCAGTATCATGCCTCATCACCTGATACTGCCTTATCTGGATTGCTTCTGGTACCTCAGCCTTAGTGCCCAAGGGAAAAGGACCTGGAGGTGCTGGTTGACAGCAGCTGGAGGAGATTGTAGCCAGATGGGGGTCGGTCTCCTCTCCCAGGTTACTGGCATTAGAATGAGAGAAAATGTGTTCAAGTTGCACCACAGGAGATTTAGATCAGATATTAGGAAACATTTCTTCACCAAAAGCATTGGAACAGGCTGCCCATGGAAGTGCTGGAGTCTCCATCTCTGGAGGTATTTAAATGGCATGTAGATGTTGCACTTGGGGACATGGTTTAGTGGTGGACTTGGCAGTGCTGGTTTAACAGTCGAACTTAATGATCTTTAAGGGTCTTTTCCAACCTAAATTATTCTGTGATTCTATGAATCCATGATATAAAATTGAGCACAAAGGAACTAATGAGAAACCTTCAAGAGTGAGAGAAATATTAATGCTAGCATTATTCTTCGTTTTCTAAGGCTGCATGTTTTATTTCACACTGGAGAGAAAGAGTTGATACTGCATTAATTGCCTTTTTTTTGGAACCAATTTGATACAATCCTTCAATAGAAAATTCCTGAATAAAAATCACAGGAAGGAAGTTTTATCTAAAAATGATGAAGCTACGGTGTTCCTTTGATAGGCTTAAAATGTCAAAAAAGTATTTTTGTGTATTTTGAAGTTTTCCCAGTGCCAGTGTTGATTAGTGATAATGACTGTCTTGTGAAGAACCGAATGCTTTCACGTTCAGATTCACTAGGCTTATAAATAATGTGCTTGGTATTATCAAAGCAGTTATTACCATAAAAATATAAGAAATCAGGATATCTTAAATTCTGTTTAAACTAATAAGTAATTATAGTAGGAAGAAAAAGACCTTTAGACCTATTTTACACAAATATGGAAGAATATATTTATTTATGCTTAGGTTACTAACTCAAGTTACATGGACTTCAACTTCTTTAGCAGTTTACAGAAGTGAAGTTTGGATGTTTTGTTTGAAACAACTAAAAATAACATAACCAAAATAATTTGATGCATGATGACAGCAAAAGAGGGTTTTGCTGCTTCTGTGTGAAAGTGATTCCATTTTCTCTACTTGAAGGAAAAAGAAAAGGAATGTGCAATGAATATCCTATTTATGTAAAATATATTTCATATATAGAGAAAAAAGAGAGGAATGGTATATGCAGAGATAATATTTTTTTTGTCTTGTGAATATTGAAATGAAAGTTTATGCATTTGGGTCAAATGTTTTGTTTCTAAACTTCATCTTGTCACAAACTGATGTGTTTCAAATTAAGAATTGAGAACTTTGCCTGATTCTTTCCCCAGTAACTATTTAGGAAACCTCATTATGTAAGACAACATATGTGAAAGACTGTGACTGCAAAACATGGTTACTGAGCACTATCTAAATTTATTTTCCTTATCAGTTATGCCCCCAAAGACATAAGTATGAAATTACTACTTTCAAATCTTACTCTGCTCTTGGCTTGTTATCTTCATTGCTGTCCTAAAATGAGGAGGTTCCTTGTTCTAGTCTAATTTCAGAAGGAAAAAGTAAGTAGGATTCTGTCTATAATGACAGAATTTAATTGGGTTGATATATAGAATACACAAATAGACAAAACTATTTCCGTCTCTTTTCATGACACTAAAGATAGTGGTCTTCAAAATGCTGAGGTGATTTAAATTAATTAAATTAACCCTATTAAATGAGAGTAATTATTTCTTGCCTTAGACAAAAGCAGACCAATAAACTGCAGTGCCACTTGTGTTTGTTTTCTTCCTCTCAAATGCTGTGCATTTTCTTTTTGTGAATAGTCAGAGCATATTTAAGTTGATCATCTGTTAGTTCATTTACTTGCTGAGATATGGTGACAAGCAGAGTTTAAATATCTCAAGAACTGCCTGAAATCTTAACAGTGCAGTGACAAAAGTGACAAAATCTTAGTTTTTTACTTCAGTGATACAGAGATCAGGCTGGAGTACCTCTTCCTTCTAAACATGGAGAGACCAGGACAGGCAAAGCTGTCTAAGTGATGTGTTGGAGATTCAGGGACTGCAACAGCAGAGACCACCTCCAGTGCCATCAGTAACCATCCAACATGGCACATCCTACACGTTGCTCACAGACAGATGGAATTGTGTGATTTTGAGGTTTTTTTGCCTGAAGTGAACCATAAGTTGCTCTTAAAACTCTTATGTGGAAAAAAATTAAGACTTACCTTTGTTGGTGGCAGGCAAAATAAGGTCTGGGAACAGCCTAAAGAGGGCTATTACTTTCTGAACTAAATTTCCATATGTTTTCATCTAATGCTGTTTTATCTTGTATTATTTTATCATAGAAAACATTATCCAAATGTTGTAGTAAGCACTATAACTGGGCTGAAAATATTAGTGCTGAAAATTCAAGAAATACCTGGTGAGAAACCTCCTGACTATTGGCCTGTGTCTGATTGGCCAAAATCCTTGGGGTATTCTACACATATAGAAATATATATATGCATGTATGCATGTATAAAACAGCAATAAAAATCACCATTAGAACATTTAGCAGCATTCTAAACAAAGACAAAGCCCTGCAGCAAAAAGGTGAGAGGTGGCATTTTTTAAGCTTCTTTCAGTCAGACAAGGGAAGTCTAGTTTAATCCAAGCTCTAAGATTAAGGTCTCTTCTTACTCAAAGGGAAGAGTGTGATTGTGCTCGGTTGGAGTTGAGAGAATTTTGATGCTCTTGTAATTCTTTGACATATGGCACAGTCTAGCACAACCAGTCATCATGCCAAAGATGATTATGTCCTACAGCATGAATTCTAGCACTAATTTATTAATGTTGTCAGACTTGAGAACATTTAACTGCTCAGAGGGTCATGTTTTTCAGCAGCTCAGGGAAATATGTGTTTGAACACTTGCAACTGGTGTGGTGAGAGCAGAGGGCTTGTTACTTGTGAATACTTAAGGACTCATTTTGACCACCAGCCTTGCATGGCAGATTTCAACCCCAAGCAATTTGTACTTGCAGTGAGAGCCTTCATACTGCACAAAAGATATTCAATCATAAATATGACAGAGGTGATGAAGGATTGTGGGTTTTTTCGTCATTATAACTTAAGCTCTGTACTTAAACTCTCGGGGTTTTGAAGATTAATTATGTTTGATAGCTATTAAAATGAAGCAATGCAAGCATTAATCAAAATTCTGTGACCAAAAAATGTTAACTTCCTTGATTCCTGTATGTAATTGTTGCAAAATTAATTATGCAAAATATTGGAGGATAAGCTGTTTTGGTTCCTAGATTTAAAAGCGGGAAAGTGGCATGGATTTCTCAGGTTAGAAGCACAAGAAACTAATAATTTGGCTCTTAGTGGTCATGTCAGTGGTGAAGTCAGTAGTGGTTCATGCAGTAGTATGATTTCAGCCTCTCTTTGTCCTCTCCTTCCTTGTGTTGAGGAATTTTCATCAAAACAAGATTTCTTGTTTGGTTCAATGCCCTTCCTCAGTTTATAAAGTGGCAAAAATTCAAATTCACCCTAAAACCCTTGGTGTCCATCAGAAATCTATGATACTAAAAAGGTGCAGAATTTATTGGTAAATGGCTGAATTGAACTCAACTGTTCCTCAGTGTTTACTGTCATAGCTTAATTAAGCCAATCCTTGGTTTTCTGCTGAACTGAGAGAAAACATAAAGCAGTGTATTTAATCCTCAAAACTGAGATGAACGTGTTCTTGAGGAGGGAATTTTACCCGAGTTTTTTTCCAAGTAATTTCTTGGTGCAGAGGACATTCTGGGTTGGCTGTTGCTTTGCAAATGCCTTGAAACAGTTATTTCTGGTATAAAAGATCTCTGGTGTGTTGCCTTAACACTTCCTTAAAAAATGAGTTTTTGTAAACACCCACAACTGTGTTTGCCTTTATCAGTGTTTCAGAGTGTAAGTTCGCAAGGTAAGGAAATATCAAAGTCTTTGTGTTTATGTATAGATACACACATATGCACACAAATATATATATATGTAGCCTCACCAGGTAGTTAGGCTAATTCTATGTATAGATGTAGCCTAATAAAATATACATATGTATAACCATATGTATACAATGATATATCAGTGAATAGATACACATGTATGATTAGCTATCCAAAATGAAAGTGGCAGCCTTAGGACACAGATGGATATCAGGAGGGCAAGTGGAACACCAGAGAAAAGGATATTAGTAAGTTTTCTACTGTAATAATATTAAAGATGGTTTTATCTGTTAAGGTGTTCTGTCCTGGACAGTATTACTGTAGCTGACCTAATGATAACTGCTTTAGTACTGCAATTAGTGTATTAAGATTTTAAATAGACTACCAAGATATTTGTGTTTCAAAAGTAAAGATTTTTTTTCCCTATCATGACAGGATCTTGATGTGATTTGGGATAAGATCAATTAATGGAAGGTAAGATGTTGTGTTGTCAAATCCTGAGGTGGACATGAACCCATATTCCCCAACTTGTTGCTAGACTGGTGGTGAGATGTAGCAGACTTCTTTCATCTGCACCACCTCTGCCTAAATCTCAAACTTTTCTCTGAAGGAGAACTTGTGGAGTGTGGAGTGCTCAGAGAGCTTGCAGGTACCACTGTAGAATAACACTCACGTGTTTTGGCTCTTTCTAGAAGGAAAAATCTTTTGTTAAGGGAAAAACATTTGTTTTAAAGCTAAGGATATTTAGGAGACAGGTAAATGGCTCCTGCCCAGGAAGTTGGAAATGGGTACGTGTCTCTGGACAGTTCTCTTGTTTGCCTGTGCATTGGAAACATGTGAGTTGATATAGAAAAAACTGCTTTAACAACATCTGCAGAAGTTGTACGTGTACAACTCCTGCCACTGACAGCAGCAAGAAGAGATTTTTAATTCAGGCTAGTTTAGGGTGAGAGGTTGTGATAAAATGAAAAGGAAACCTTTGGCCCAGGGTCCTGTCTCCTCATCAC